GGTCGCTTCGGCTATGCAGACGACACGGCCATCCTGTCCATAGGCGACACAGTAGACGAGACTTCTGCCATGGCATCTAGTTCCATCGCCGAGATGGTGCGATGGGGCGCGGAGAATGGCGTGTCCTTCGACACGAAGAAGACCGAAGTCATGCATTTCTCCCGCAGCAAACTCAGGACTGCGCCGGCAGTGCGCCACGGCGATGTCGAGAAATACCCTGAACCAGCTCTACGCTGGCTTGGTATCTGGTTGGATAGCAGACTATCTTTTCGACTTCATGTCGAAAAGTGGGCGGCCAAAGCAAAGGCAGTGGCTTATCATTTGCGGGGGCTCACCAACACGGTACACGGCCCTCTACCGAGCGCCGTGCGAGGCGCCGTCAGAGCATGTGTCGAGCCAGTGCTGCTCCACGGCTCAGAGGCGTGGTACCCGGGCAAGACCAGGCCGCGGTGGACCCATCCTACGAAAGATCTACCATCGAGTAACCAGCATCTCGTGCAAATAATGACAAAAGCCATGAAACAGGCTATGAAGGCCATTCTTCCCGTCTGGAAGACGACACCCATCACCGTCCTCCACAGAGAAAGCGGGATACCACCAGTCGATCAATTGCTTGACGCGAGGCGACTTAGGTTCTCCGCACGACTCAAATCGCTGGATGAGGCTCATCCTCTGGCGATCCGAACGCGCCCGCCCCGACAGCCTACTTACCACGACCTCATCAAACGAAGATATCAAATACAGGCAGAGAGCAGCTTCAGGACGCGCCTTCGACGTGCAAACGAACTCTTTGCACCCTGCACGCGGCCGAAACTCGTCTATCGATGCTTCCATCAAGAACAGTTGCCCCCACTGCAGACAGCGTCTAAAGAGAAATCGGCTGACGCCTTTTCCCGCTGGGTCGAGTCTCTCGACCCGCTCACCTTGGTCGTATACTCGGATGGCTCTCTTTCCTCAGAAGGGGCTGCCAGCTATGGCTTCACCATCCATCAGAACAATATCCCCATCTTTGACGGATCAGGTCGCCTCGGACCTGCTGAGGTTTTCGATGCTGAAGCTACCGGGGCTTTAGAGGGCCTGAAGGCTGCTCTAAACCTGCGAGAATTAGCAACACAGAATATATTCATCTGCCTAGATAACCTGGCAGCCGCCACGTGTCTACGAGGCACTCCTTCTGAATCCTCTCAAAACGTCTTTCTCGAGTTCCAAGCTCTGACGACATCGCATGGAGCCATCCAAGTTCGCTGGGTGCCAGGGCACTCCAACATCCCTGGCAACGAACAGGCCGACAAGCTGGCAAAGGCAGCGTCATCGCTCCCCGAGCCCGAAGGCGCTCAACCGACGCTGGCTTACCTACGAAGAATCGCAAGACAGAAGCCGAAAGAAGCGTTCCAGGCGTGGTGGTCCACCTCCGCTCCTGAGCAGTACAAAAGACTCAATCTCAAGGCGACTACAGGCTGTCCGCCGGAGCTGTCGCTCCCGCGTGCAGCCTTGCACCATCTGCTGGCAGCAAGGTCGCTTCATGGGGACTTCGCCGCATATCACGAGAGATTCGACCATAGTGATGCACGCCTGGTCTGCTCATGCAACCGACGCAAAGCACCGGACCACATCTTCTACTGCAGAAAGGTACCGCCGCGTCATCGGATGAGGTTGGCACCCTCACCGAATGCAGCAGTCAACCTGGCAACAGGAAGAGACTTCACCAAGTTCACCGAACTGTCTAAAGCCAGCGTTTTCTTTGGAAAGATCTGTCCTCGTTATTAGACGAGCACGACCCGGGACGCACTCGCATCCTTCCTCCCCTCTTTTACCCTTATACATTTCCTTTTTCTTACCTTTCTCTCTTACCTGTTCTCGGCCAGATGAAGGGCGCTAGCACGCCCTCTATCTGATCGTGACCACTTGAAGGCAGCCCTGAGGCTACCGCGCCCAGAGGCTCACGATCGCCTAACAACGGGCTTACCTTGCGGCTGTCGTTCATCAGCCGCGCCTGATCATCCCGCTGACGGGTAACAGGCTAGATAAGATGCGCCATTTGTGCCGTTGATATGCTGGATAGTGTGAGGTCTATCGACGCGTCTGCAGAATTGGAATTCGAGAGGAAGTCATAGTATTCTGTAATTAGTGTGTAGATAGGTCCCAATTTCTCTAGCTCAGCACGTCCTGTGCTCCATTAGGAGACTTTCGGGGCCTACGGCCCCCCGGACGAAAAATATACATAACATAACATAACATAGCTTCAGAGGTCTGGAATATATATTGTATTCTCCACAGTATAACTGGCAACTACCCTAAACTCAAGGTGTCGTTGATAGGTTGTACCCGTAAATATTTTGTTTCCCGTGTGAAGCTTTTCCGACTGACATGTTCTAGGGTGCCCAGCTGATAGGAAATGCTATATATGTGAGGGGAGGAAAACCTGAAAGAGAGTCGGGGGCTCTGGGTTCGTGGAAAATCAACGACTCCTGTATCACATCATAAGAACTTATAGAGGGTATGTGGATTGTCCTGGTGTCAGCGCAATCGAGAGGACTCTGCTTTCAACTACAAGATATCTATCTCAAAGGTCGCATATATCTTATCAATGTTAGTCCCATGAACTAACCAAATGGCAAGAGTAGGTAAAATAATAGTCTATGATGCGAGGCGTATGATGGCTATATTTTCTTGGGTCGTCTGGCGATAGGTGAGGAAAGCGATGTGGAGAACTATGGAAAACGTTGTTGACTTTGTTCTTGGCTACCTTGATGAAGTGTCGAGGAGGGCATAAATGCAAGAAGAACTTGAGTTTGGAGATGGATATATCAAGCTGTTAAAATCTGTCCCTTTCTATCTACTTGCATTAGTCTTGGAATGTGCAGCATCGGTCTAGAAAACCACTACGTCAACTTTAGTATAAGCTTGAAAACACCCTTCAAACCTCCAACCAATGAGAAAATCCGATTTCAAATACGAAGTATGCATACGTATCCCTATCTTGATTTTAAGATTCCATCGTGAAGATCTCTCGCGATGTGGGCTCCCACCTCCCGATGAAACCCCCCACAAGACCGCGTGTCTCCCATGACCCGCGCGTTCACGAGCCAATCGTCGTCATCTCTTTTCCCTGACTCGGTTTACATTCTCCGCTATAGGCTGGCCCTAAACTAGACCTCGGCAGTGCTTTTTAGGTGCCGTCTATGCTTCATTCTTAGCTTGGCAGCTTTATTCGGAGAAATTGACGGTTTGGTTACTTCTGTAACATTAACGCGTCACGACGTGTCCATGCGCCTCTCAACAATGCGAATATGCAGGCTCAGTGCCACTCGGTATGTGGGTTGTTGCTGAGGTCAAGAGGCGGTGGAATGTGACCGTTATGATGGATATAAAGAATGAGTTTCTGCAGTTGACTTAGAATCTCGATAACCTCATCACTCGCATCAGCCTCTTCCAGATCGTTCATTAACCAGTATCCACTATCATTGAAATCATCACCATGCCTTCTATCAAAAGCCTCCTCACCAGCTTTGCCGTCGCGGCTAGTATCGCCTCAGCCCATCCAGGACATGACATTGCTCACGAAGCCGCTGAACGTCGCGAGTTTCTCAACTCCGTCAAGCGATCCTCCCTCGCCCACTGCGCTCCCAAGCTTCGAGCTCGTGGTGTTGAAGCTCGCAACATCGCCCGTCGTTCGGCACAGGTTAACAAGGCTCGCCAGAAGCGAAGCTTGAAGAAGCGCGATGCTGATACCGTCTTGAACACTTCTCACAACAAGACTGATCAAGGGTTCAGCCCTTGCACCGCCCCTTCGGTCCTGTTTGCCAGCATCAACTCTTGTGTTTTGACTCCTGAAGTCACTCAGGGTCCTTACTGTAAGAATTCCGGTTGTGTGTTTTAGGGGTTTTTGGTTAACATAATCCAGACGTCGCCGGCGAATACGTTCGTGAGAACATCATCGAAGACCAAGAGGGTCTCAACATTGTCCTCGACTACCAGGTTATCGACGTCGAAACCTGCGATCCTGTCCCCAATGTCTACCTCGAGATGTGGCATTGCAACTCCACTGGCGTGTACTCTGGTGTCGTTGCCAATGGCAATGGTGATAGCTCTGATGAGGCCAACATTGACAAGACTTGGCTTCGAGGCATCCAGAAGACCGACTCTGATGGTGTTGCCCAGTTCGAGTCTATCTTCCCTGGTCACTACACCAGCCGTGCTACTCATATCCACGTCATGGTCCATGCCAACGCGACTCTCCTCGCCAACCATACTCTCGGCCGAGATAACTATGCCAGCCACGTTGGACAAGCCTTCTTCGACCAAGACCTCATCGCTCAAGTCGAAACCCTCGAGCCTTATGCTTCCAACACCCAGGAACTCACTCTCAACGAAGACGATGGTATTCTGAGCGAAGAGACCAAGACTGATGGTGTCGATCCTTTCATGGAGTACACTCTTCTCGGCGACAGCATCAGCGACGGTCTTTTCGCCTGGCTCGCTTTCGGCATCAACTCTACCCAGTCCAGCTCTGTGTCTCCTGCTGTTTACTACTACAAGGAGGGAGGTGTTGCCAACGAGAACTCAGGTGGCGGTAACGGCGGATCTCCTCCTTCTGGTGCTGCTCCTGGAGGTACACCTCCGGCCAAGATTGACGAGTAAGACAATCCTACGGTGAATTAAATGCGGGATATGACCGGATCTGCGGGTGTGGATACTACTGGATTACCGATCTACCCGGCTTTGCCGACGACGTGAGGTGATGGGAGATGTTGTGATGAGTCTGGGCAAGCGATTTGCGATTTGTTGGAGAAGTGTCTGCTTGGTCTGGAACTAAGTTCATTTGTTTATATAGGATTTCTGAATAACTGTTTATAGCTTCACTATAGAAAGAAAACGTTTTTGTTGATCAAGCTTCACACCACTTATACTATCAGATAAATGGATGATGGGAACAGGTCTAGGATACTATTTGGGATAAAAGGAAAGTGACCTCTAATAGATCTTCAAGTGTGAACCATCTAGATCCAGAAGGCCAAGACGAGACCACCAAGAATACTCAGTATCCACGTCGCTGCCTCTGACTTCTTGAATTGAGCTTTCGTATATCCAAATCCCAAATCAAACACCAAGTGCCGAATACCATTAATAAAATGATACGTAAACGGAAACCCGAGTAATCCAAACTTGATTGCGGCCTTGGCAGCGAAAGGCAATGCGCCGAAAGTCGACACCAAAGCAGCTGAGTCAAATCCCATTCCAAGATAAGGAGCCACAGCGTGGGCGCTTAGAGTCAGGTAAGCTGTACCACCTACAGAAATACCTGTTATTCGAGTCCATGCTGATGCACTGAACCAGACTTGTCCGATCTTGTAGATTGTGAGGTTTGGGGTGACGGGGCGGCTGAGACGTTGTTTGACGAGGATGTCGTGGCCTTCCTTTTGGTTCATGTGAACAATTGCTGGACGTTCTCTGGAAGGAAATTAGAAAGACGATTGAGAGACAGATTGGAGGTGTTGTGAAGATGAGAACTCACCGTGCTTGCTGAGACAACAGATGGGTCAAGGCCAATTTCGGAACATTCTGGTTGAAGAAGACCCGAGGTCGTCCAGCGCCTATTTAGAAGCGTCAGTGTGGTTATTGTGATGATATTGGTAAAGTTATATTCCTACCTTGCACGACACCGAGGCCAATCCGTTGTACGCTCATCTTGATTAACCGCTGACAATGAATGACAAACCCAATGCTTTTAGACGAGTCGATTATGCATTGAATGAAAGGCTGAGAATCAAGATCTGATCTATCAAAACACAAGTCTCCTTTGTATACCCACGTGATTCTTGCTTTTCGCGTCTTCGACTTCTTCCGACATCAGCCTGCCCAGAACATCGGTGTTCGTTATGCGACCTGCCGGATGTAAGATGCCGGAGGAAGAACACCGATCACGCCAGGTTTCAGCTCAGATCATTATTATTGAAACATTCCATCTCTCTTAAACAACTGCCATTAGATTAAAAACTCGTCGAACTTTAATATTATATCAATCGGTACAGATTGCCGATCAAACCGACAGGTTGTAGACGCCCAGAGGCCCCAGACTCACAGTAGTATAAATCTAGGGCTCTAACCGCAAGTAATGAAAGTATTGCAATAGCTTTGGGATAATTCAGAGTAGAATTAGCAGGCTCTTTAGCTAGATATTCTTGAATATTAGTGTTTCGAGTCTTGCAATACCCTGAGGCCAGTATACTTAGATACCATCATAGAGACTATGAGAGGGAAAGAATCGCTTATGCACGAATCTCAAAACATAATCTCATGGCCACAAACAATGAACTCAATGCGCCAACGTGCCTTCCATCGTACCAGTCTCAGAAATGAACACCTCGACCAACGGACTGTGGATTTCCGCGGTAACAGTCTACACTTCCACAACACATCTTCCTCTCTCTCAAAATACATGAGTCACATTTTTCATATACACAAGTGGCACGAATTAAGGACCAGGAGCGGTCAGACTTAATGCAGCTCTTGCCAGCCTTCTTCTACGGGACTTGGTATGATACGTGCTTCCACGCTCTAAAGAAGCTAGCGATGATTGATTCTGGACTGGCAAAAAGACATCGACAACGGCAGGATTCGAACCTGCGCTCCCGAAGGAAACAGCTTACGGCAATTCGAGGCTGTCGCGTTAACCACTCCGCCACGTTGCCTAGAGATATTGGATATTCATGAGGTTCGAATCCTGGAATATTCATCCCAAGCTTGGAGTTTTGGCAACACTATCAATGGCCGGCCAGTAACACGACCATAGCTCAATCCAGTAGCTTCCGTCATCAATAAAGAGAGCAATTTATCAACACATCACATTTTCTTGAAGATTCCAAAGCCAAGGAGCCCATTGTTCAGTTCGCTGTTGGTTTTCGGTTTAACCGTTGGTCCGACTTACACTCGATATAAGGCTGAAGATAAGGTTATTAGTCATGCGCCGTGATTCACGATCCAGGAAGGAGTGCCTTCCATTTTTTGCACCTCAATTAAACGGCCACGTTTTCCTGATCAAGTGCCATGCGACGAATGTATTTTTATGAATGATTGGTAGGGATTGTCTTTTGCAATTAAAATCGAGACGCCCGACTTGTTTCATGGTTTTCAGCTGATCCCCAAATCGTGCTGGTTTGTATGCAATGAACAGGGATGGATCCATGCTTGAGAAGGGCTGACCAGGTCATTTTATAGCTCGCGATCCCACAAGAAGCTTAAATACCTGCTTATCTCCCCAGTCAGTAGTGGAAGTGGCTGTCAATACATTTAAGCTTATTTCCTATTGATTCAGTGACGTTGAGATGCGTGCCATTCCGTCAACACTTATCAGCCTGGCCTTCGCAGTCTTGGCAACTGCCTCCGACGAAGATGTCGTTTCGTTCCCCGCCATTGGCGAAGTCGACATCGTGTTTCCTCGGGAAGATACATACGCCGCCGAAGCGCCATTCCCCGTTATTTTCGGCCTTCAAAATGCTCCTGTCTTGACAACCTTCAGTGGCACGCTCAACTGGGAACTTGATTGTGCATACACCCTCTTCGGCATCGGCCGACTATACCTAGACTTTCTACCAGACTCAGAACCATATTACTTTCTCAACACGAGCAAAGCCATCGCCGACGCTGACGAGGGTGATCAGTTTCAGTACTGGCGTGGCGAAGAAGATTCTTGTATCCTCAAGTGGGATTTGCGGTGGACCACTGTTTGCGAGCCACGGAAAGACGGCAGTCTTCTCTTGAAGAACAATCAGTTTGAACGATCTGGAAACGTGACTTTTACTCTTCGCCCTGGCGCAAAGACGGCACGCAAGGCTATCGCCGAGTACGACGGCTGCGCTATTGGAGGCACTGCGGTGAAGGTTGAACGCAATCACACAGTTGGTTGTCCCATTCTTGCCGAAGACGCATCACCTAAACCGAGGCCTTGTGACTTGGATGTCAAAAAGGCCCGCAGTAGCCTTGCAGAGGCTGTTGTGAAACCTACCACTAGCTTGACTGCGATACCCAGCAAAACGACCGATACAGGTGTGGGGACAACAGGTACTGGGACCGATGGCGCCTCGGAGTCTACTAGCACCGGAGAGGCCTCTGGGAAAAGCAGCGGTGGTGGAAATGATGACAATGGTGCACATGCACTAAGTATTAGCAAAGGTGGACTCTTGACTTTGTTTACTGCTCTAGCTACTAGTACCCTTCTTGAACTAGTCATGTAGGACTGATAGCATTGGTACGTAAGTAGAGTAGTTGAATCAGTTGCCACATCCCAGCCTCAGCTTCGGAATCTGGACCAACAAACGAAGCATTAGATTTCAGCACCACCCAACAAGGCTTTTTACTATCTCGCCGCTGCATTGTCCTACTGATAGAGAAAATTCCCGTTCTATACGTTGCTTTACAGTGGTCTGGGACATGGTGCCATGCAGAAAGTTTATAACCGATTTTGTCATGGTGAACAGCTTAGCCCTGACTTGAGCTGTGGAGACTGAAACACCCCAGAACCGATTTTAAGCATAAGCTTGCATAGATTCTAAAGATAAATGGTCTGGTTTCTCTCTTAGAATTACCGTTTCTGTCTATAGATACTACTTTTTAGCTTCCTAGCATGGAGCCGCGAACACGGCATGCACGGCTATCCAAGCCGGCCGAGGGCCGAAACCAATAGTTCAAGTCTTTAGGGGTGAAGTCCATATGTGTTAGCCGTGATGAGAGCGTCTTAAATTATTAATTCAAAAGGATACGATCCATTTCAACGTTATTTGGATCTAGTAGTATATAATCTTACGACGACCTCACTCAAACGATCGGTAAGTATCCCATTACCTTCTTCCGACACAGCTCAAGTTATTCTCGGTTGGCTGTCTCAATACAAACTTCCCAATTCTCCATATATTTTTGTTCTTGCCGTTACACCATGGCCTCAATCAAATATACTACTCCTCCCGGCTTCACCCAAACCCTGTCTGACGCCGTCCACTACTCCCAAGCCGTCGATCTCGGCAACGGCCACTTCAAGATCTCAGGTCAAGGTGGCTGGAACGCCAAAGGCGAAATACCATCCGACATCAAAACAGAAACTGAACAAACAATTCAAAACGTTGACGATATTCTCAAAGCGGCTGGTCTTCGTGGCTGGGAAGACGTCTACTACGTACGCAGTTATCACACCGATATTGACGCGACACTATCTCCTCTAGCTGAGGCTCTTAAGAAGCGTATTCCTGATAATAGACCTGGAGGCGTTGTGTTGGGTGTTGCGAAGTTGGCCTTGCCCGGTATGAGGTTGGAGATTGAGGTTGATGCTAAGACTTCGAACTTGAGGGGACCATCAGCGAAGATCTAACTTCGATCAGCTCCAAGGAAAGATATGTAGCAAGAACCCTTCGAAGAAATCAGACAGTTATATTTATATCAATATATCATTCCATAAGTCGCTAAATTAACAAAGTCATCATTCATAACCCATTACTTCTCCAAACATTCTCGAATCGACCCTTCTTGCATCTCACTGTACAGGTCAAATTCCTTCTTGACATGACAACCAAGACTTCTCTCGAAGGAGCCTTGATCCGCTTCTGCAACATGACTCAACCCGCCATCTTCCCCTAGGTTTGAGTGAAAGATTCCAGCTGCACTAACTGGCAAGAAGTCCTCATATGTGATCGGCTCGACCTTGATAATTCCAGAACTGATAAGGCTGTCGATACTCGCACCAGAGTCTTTCGACAGCTTAGAAACAGCATTGTATGTAAAGTATGCAAGTTTCTCTTTTCGAATAGTTTCCAAATCATCAGGGAACTTCTGGAAAACCTCTGCAAGAATTTGCTCCTTCGAACCAGGCTTAGCATCAGACGTGAGCTTGGCCACAGATCCCCGCCACTCATTGATAAGATCATCATATAGACGTCTTCCCTTTGGCGTCAAAGCCATTCCTCGCTGTTCAATCTCCCCAAACCTCGCCTTATGGCTTCCTCCCGTTTCTTCTCCCTCAGAAAAAGCAATCGCTTCATCAAGGGCTAGGAAACTTGTCTGGCGAAGGAGAATAGGACAAAGTCTTGGTGGAGGTCCCTCGATGGCGTCTTTGGCTTGAAGGCCATATCGAAGCATTTCAACTTGTGCTGTTTCGATATCGAGCACTCGAGGTGTGAGATGGTTGATGTGAGGTCCTTTGAAACAGACGACGTCTGCGATCAAGGGATGTGCTTTTCGGAGAGCTTTGTATGTTTTCATGTCTACTGTTGATGTTTTGTGCCATCGGAATGTCTCCAGAGCTTCTTTTATGAATTCTTCTGAAGAAGATTCTGAGAAATGCTTTTGCGACTCGAATTGTTCGATTAATTCCACACAGCGCTGTGTAAAGATGTTGCGTTTTCGCAAGATATCAGCCGCCTGTGTCCGAAGTGTCTCATCTTCGATGAGCTCAAGCCGCAATAACGATGTAAATACCCGAAATGGGTTATAAGCCAGAGCTTCTTGTGTGAGAGGTCGAAAGCACGTGGCGTGAACTGGGAGATTGGCGACAGTGAGGTCGTAATAGCCAACAGGATGCATGCCCATTACAGCAAATAAGCGCCGCATTATGGCTAGCTCTTCTGGTGTTCCAAGTCTGATAGCTCCATGGCGTTCAACCTCGATACGAGGTTCGATGGGTTGATGTGTTTGGTGGTTGATATCGGATACAAGCTTGAGGAGTGTGCCGTATTGAGGAACCTCACGTCGATACATGCTCGAGAGGGCAGAGGCGAACATAGCTCTGATAGCATCGGGACTGACTGTATCTGTGACTGTCATTGTGACTGCGGTATATGATATGTTGTTACTGTAGAGGAGGTACTATTTGCTTTTAAGGAACAGGATGTTAAATTCAGATGTATTATTAGGCTTATCATGTCTATAGCGCAACCCAGATAAGACTGAATGCTATCATTTATATCTAATACTTCGGCAACGAGACACGAATGCCGATGTTATCAGGTATCTCCTGGACGCCCTTTTGCTTGTAGTCATTCTCCACTGACAAGCCTCCAACGAATTAGATTACATGGTTTGGGGATAAGTGAGATCACGTATCCGATAAGGCGGGGCCGAAACCGGGTCATGGGGTTCGAATGCGATAAAGAGGAAACAGATCCCGAGCGTTGGCTCGTTTCAATATGTTATATGCCGACTCCGGTTATCGGCGGGATTGATACTTTCCGAGTCACTGATTTACCTGTTTGTTGGCTGGATAGTCAAGATAAGGAGGCTGATAAGGAAACCATAATCACATTCTCACAGATAAGGTACCCGATATCAAATATGTTAAGGTTCCAGCGGAAGATAGCCGAGCCAGAGAACAGTCACTATATTGATGGACAATCTCATGCGTGACACGAATATCGTTCCTCATACTTGTAATAATCAGCCTGGGAAAGGCCACGGACAAACGAGAACATTACTCAACAGAACACACAGCCACCAGTAATGTAACAAATGGTATCATTATGGCTATCTCGTGACGGCTTCTCTATACAGCTTCCCCTACAGCTCGAATCCCAGGTTGACGTGAATAGCCTTGGACTGAGTATACGCATCCAGCGCATACTGCCCCAACTCACGACCAATTCCAGAAGATTTATATCCACCGAAAGGAATACCGAAGTGTGAATCGCCGGATGAGTTGATCCAGACCATGCCAGCCTGAAGCTTACGAGCGACCTTGTGTGCCCGAGAGATCTTTTCTGTAAAGAGAGCGGCGGCAAGACCATACGATGTATCGTTGGCTTTGGCAATGGCTTCCTCGTCGGTAGAGAACTTGGCGATGGAGACGACGGGGCCGAAGATCTCTTCCTTCATGATCTTCATGTCCTCGGTAGTCTGTTACTCGAGTCAGAATACTTTTTGGTATTGTCGGAGCGGAAACTTACGTCTGCAAAGACTGTCGGTTGGAGGTAGTAGCCCTTGTCACCGTGCTTGCTACCACCGTACAGGAGTCTAGCACCAGACTTGCGTCCCTCCTCAATGTATGAGATAACTCGGTCGAATTGGGTCTTCGAGACTTGAGGGCCCTGGACTGTTGCTTCCTCGAAGGGAGAACCGAGCTTGTCGTTCTCCTTTGTGACCGCGACGAACTTCTCAAGGAACTTGTCGTAGATGTCCTCGTGCACGTAGATTCTCGAGGTGGATGTGCACACCTGAGATATACTGTCAGTATCCATGGCGCTGTTCAATGGGTTATGAAGCTCACCTCTCCCTTGTTGTCCATGATGCCAAAGTGGCACCACTTAACAGCCTGCTCCAGCTCTGCATCGGCAAATACAATTGAGGGACTCTTACCACCACACTCAAGCGTGATGTTCTTCAGGTTGTTCGCAGCATCCTTCATAATAGCCCTACCAGTGTTGGTGCTACCCGTAAACGCAACCTTGTCAATGTCCATGTGTCCAGCAATAGCCTTTCCAGTCTGGGGGCCAAGACCAGGCAGGACATTGACAACGCCAGCAGGGAGACCGGCCTCCTTGACGAGGTTACCAAAGTATAAAGCAGACAAAGGTGTCTGCTCAGCGGGCTTGAGGATGACGGTGTTACCGCATGCCAGCGCGGGCGCGACCTTCCAAGCGAGCATCATGAAGGGGAAATTCCACGGGATAATCTGTCCGCAGACACCAAGAGGCTCTTGGAGAACATATGCGAGCTTAGCGGGAGATGTCTCAATTGTCTTGCCGCTGATCTTGTCGGCCGCACCGGCGTAGTAACGGAAGACATTGTACGACTCGTCGAGATCGCCGGCAAGACAAGCGCTGAAGGGCTAGCAACAGTGTCAGCGACGCGATCGATTGGGTGGGTATCATTCATACATACCTTTCCATTGTCAAAGGCGTCAATAGCAGCGATGAGCTCACGGTCGCGATCAATAAGATCAGCAAGCTTGTAAAGGAATGCGCCGCGGTCGACGGCAGCTAGCTCTGACCATTCACCCTCGAAGGCTTTGCGGGCTGCTTGAACGGCCTTGTCGACGTCTTCTTTTGAAGCTCCCTTGAGCTTGATGACTTCTTCCTCGGTGCTGGGACGTGTGAGTTTCCGTTCAATTGGAGATTTGAGGGAGTGGTGAGAGCTTACACTGGGTTTGTCACTGCGAACTCATCGCCCGAAGCAGCGACAAACTCGTTGTTGATGAAGAGACCTGTAGGTTGGTCGTACTTCTTGCCATTGGGCAATGTGATTGATGTAGTTGATGCCATTGTGAAATATGTAAGAGACGCAAGGCGCGGGGAAGACAGAAATGAGAGAAGTTTGAATGTATTCAATGAGGAAGGATGGGGTATGATCTTTTATAATGAGTGCGACGCATCAAATGACAGCTCATACACCATCGCGTCCATCTTTGCGGGGTCACTCAATCATGACAATCTCGCTTGCACATTCAGCTGATAACACTTCAATTGGCCACAAACCTTTCCTCATACAGTCTCTCATCATGTCCCAGTTCATGTCAGGAAAGTATTCAGGCCAGAATGAGGGGGAACACTAACGATATCTCTAACCCCACGATGCGGGGGAACATGGGCTATTCTCCTTTGGGTAAGTTTTTGGGCCTCTGACAACCCACAGACAGGTCTTATCTCATACTGCATCTGGGATGTTTCTGGGCAATTCTGCGGGGAAAGTGAGATACAGCTCTTGAGAGTGGGAGAGTCAAACTGGAATAGGAATGTTGGGTGGCCACTCGGTCATTGTGGCATGACGAGGTGGCCGAGGTGAAGGATTCATGATAGGTTCTGTGATCATCATAGCCATGCGCCAAGATCTTGGGTGGTGATACTGTGTGTCATGTTGTGTAGTACATAAGGGCAACTGTGCCTCTGATACGAGCATTAAGCACAGCGACCGTTTTCGATCTGTACCTCTCAGTCACAAATCCTCAGCTACCTGTAAGCCTCCAGCTTCACAATCAATCTTGTCTCAGTGCCTTACACAAACAGACCGTCATCATGTCTCATCTCACCTACTTCAACTACGAAGGCGTCGGCAAGACCAACAACAAAGAATACTCATACTCACAAGCCGTCCGCGTCGGCAACACCATCAAATGCTCCGGCCAAGGCGGATGGGACAACGAAGGCAATATCGACAAAGAAGATCTCAAGGGTCAAATTGACCTGGCTTTCAAGAACGTTGAGAAGAACCTCAAAGACGCTGGCGCAAGGGGTTGGGCAGACGTTCACTCCGTTAGGAGCTATCACATTTCCCTCTCGGGCTCTTTTGACCTCATGGTTGAGCAGTTTCGGAAGTGGATGCCTGATCATCAGCCAACTTGGACTTGTGTGGGTGTTACGGAGTTGGGTATTCCTGGTATGATCGTTGAGATCGAGGTGGAGGCCACCATTCAGCAATAGTTGTGTAGCGGAATTTATTAAGCATCTTTTCTTCTCCACCATGTCTCATGTGGCTCTCGGTTTTGTCCCACTTATTTGTTGCTCTATAGCACAAGCAGACCGGCTGAATAATTATTCCTGGTCCATAGAGATTCTCACCTGCTTCTTGAGACCGTGAGACTCATTACACGATTGCCTCATCTCAAGTCAATTGGCACCATGCCAGAAGCTCCTTGGCCCAAGAGGCGTAGATTCCAATACGCGAGTGGATGGAGCAGTCATGATGTCTCGGAACACGATCAAACCCCATTAATTTTGGACGATGATACGCGCGCTCTTTATGAACGCGCCACCACTGACCAGTCATCACTGAGCGATGATGACCGGCGAAAGCTCTCCCAATGGCCATCTCAGGAAGCACAAGACTCTCACTACCGGAAAGTATGTGTCTTAACTTGGTCTGAACTTATCACCAAAGCTGTTCAAGATCCTGGATCCATCTCATACTTCGAAGCATCCTTGCTCATCACCCCAGCTGTGGGCCCTGATCTAAGTCTACAGAGATATCGGATGAGCAAAGCTGATCTAGATCTTTTGGATAATGCGGTAGAGGCTGCTTTGACAGAAGAAGAAATTGCTGCTCGTCAAATTAGCTTGGATATGAAGGGTTTCTGGGACCAACAAAGCCGGAATGCCAAGAAAACGCTTGGGAATTACGACAGACAGATTATCAGAGAGGCTATGACTGTTCAATGGCAGGAACACGTTATGGGTTTGGGTGATCCTAAGTTGGCATCTTGCGGCTTTGTGACCTTTCACTCAAAGGATCTGGGCTGGCCGGTATTCAAGGAGCAGATGGAAACTGCCATACGGTGTGGCTTCAATTTCATTCCCAATGTCAAGACAGGAGTCAAAGACGGTTTCACATTACATCATATAGAGTACGGCGACTCAGAACCTCTGCAAAGACTCTTCAACACCATGCGAAATGAGAGAACTATCCCCAATGGCTTACGACCAGACACATTCCTCTACGTTGATGACAAGGCACTTCAGTCTCGTCACTCAAGTAGGCCTTTCCTTTGGCTGTCAGAGCTGGAGAATCAAGCCGAGCAATTCGACGAGACTATGCCGCTAAAGATAGACATCAAGCATATAGCGCCGGTACTGATCGCACGGTTGACGCAACGGGATATGTCATCGGGTAAGTGCCGTACATGGCCATGGGGAGACACATCAGACTTGGAGCAGCTTCACGCTGAAGCTGGTCGTTCACGAAACTCAGATGGTGAACGAGATAGGATCTGGCCTCCAACTCCACGACCGTTTCAAATCCAGTGCTCGGGCTCTTTACTACTAAGCGAGGGGATGAGTGTGCAATAAACAGATACAACATTCCATTAGAATTTAGATGAGGTAGATATCCAATGGTTAACCCAATGCTAGTTGGCATGATGAAACAACAAAGCTTCCCAGAACTATCATAACTTTCCTGTCTTTCCAAAAGTACCTGTAACTCATGTTTCGATTGTCAAAGTAGTAGGCCTTATGAAACATGATATATCTACCTCCGGAAGGAAGTTCAAGCTACAGTACTAGTGGCAGATGGACAATGGTTTACACCTAGTATCTTTCCAGAAAGGGACCATGGCCCGGGAAACACGAGACTTGCAAGAACAACGTTTTCCTTGATGCATCCAGGAGTCGTTTTGACAAGTCGATAGGTTGTGGAGACTGGAACAGAAGCTATACCAGCTCGAATTGAGTTTCACTCATGGAAAGGATTTGGTGTCGGCTATCCGGGAATCCTTCATGTTCTGATAAGGCCTTGCAGCCAATTAGGTTTCCAAGATATCCTAGCAAGCGTCTGGTGTTGCAAGAGCACGGCATCAAGTCGGACCAGAGATGACTCACCGCCAACTTGGTTTGAAAAGAAGAACTGAATCATCTCAAGAATAGTGAGTCTTTACCAAACCACTTCTCCTCACAAAATGACTTCCGCATATAGTCAAGAGCAACTTTCACGATTCTTCGATCACATCAATCTTCCTAAAGCGCTGCGAGAAGACCTTCGGCCTTCGTTGATGCTGTTGAAAGCCTTGCACACGCACTCACTTGCCACGTTCCCGTATGAAAACCTATCTCTGCACTATAATGCGGCTCACAAAATCGATCTTGATCCTCAACATCTTTTTCGAAAGATGGTGACGGATAATCGTGGCCGTGGTGGTTTCTGTATGGAGATCGCCATCTTGTACAATCATGTTCTTCGAGCTATAGGATTCGATGCATATACTGCCGGGGTACGAACTCGAGGGAGACTTGAGGGCGTTCCTACGGGGGACTATCCAGGTTGGTAAGTAAGCCACTTTACCTCAGTTGTTGGGGTAAAATGAAGAAGTCAAAACTGCACATCAAGGGACCCCGTCGGTATTTTGAATGCTAGAGGCAGGTTATCACTGGATAAATCACCTCATTTTCTTTTTTGGATATCCTGAGCGTGTTGGCAACATGAATCAAGAGCTAACCAAACAATAAGGAATCATATCGTGAACATCATCACTTTCCCGGACGGCAGCAAATATCATTCCGACGTAGCATTCGGAGGTGACGGCGCCACGATGCCAATGCCACTCATCGACGGCTTAGTACACGAGAACCTTGGAACCCAGCAAATCCGACTCAAGAGAGATTGGATACCTCATCAAGTCCACAAAACGGAAGAGACCAAACTCTGGATCTATCAGTATCGAAACAGCCAAGACAAAGAGTGGATTTCTTTCTACTCGTTTCCAGGCATCGAGTTCTTCGCTTTGGACTGGGATGTCGTCAACTGGTGGATCAACACTCACGCGGATAGCCATCAGTTACGCAATATGTTGACTATCAAGTTTCTGCTTCGCCCTGTGGAGAATGAGGCAAGCTTTGAAGGGGAGATGGAGATTTATGGAAAGAGAATGCTTGTGAATGGGGTTGTTAAAGAGAATCTGGGAGGAAGGACACAGATTATCACCACTTGTAACACGGAAGGGGAGCGCGTAGAAACTCTTGAGAGGTGTTTCCAGATATTCCTCACCGATGAAGAAAAGGAGGGTATTCGCGGCTACGTGTCAGAGCTAAACGGCTCTGTACCATAAATAAGACAAAAAGCATCCATCAGATCCAAAAAAGAAAATACCATCAAGTCTTCAGAAAGTCCCACAAAGCACCTTCACCTCTCACTTCCACCAACTCACTCCCATCATCTCCAACAGCCATGCTCCACAACTCTTGCCCATGCCTCATCAAAAGCTCATAACCACCCTGCGGACTCGGTCGAAGTGTAAAGTACTCATGCGACTGATGCTTATCGACTCTGGCGATGAACTTCTTCCTCTCGTTGTGGCCGATGATAGTCCCAGATACACAGTTGCGAAAGCCCAGCCACCTATCTCGTTCGATACACTCCCAGTGAAAGCCTCCTCTCGGGTTGAAGCCCTCGCAGAGTCGGAGGTCACCGTTCACGATGGTGATGACTTTGCCTGAGTCGCGATGGCGGATGATGAAGATGGCTCCGGGGTAGGGAACGGATTCGGTGTATTCTCTGCAGATTTCGGTTGTCGTTGTGTGTGTAGGTGTGCCTGGGCCGTCGACAGTGGAAGCCATGGACATGGTATCAATGAGATCCATCTCTTTACTCATTTTGATGAAACTTTACTGTTGATAGCCGTAGTTGAGATGCAATGTTGAGACGGCGAGATTGAATGCATGTCCACGTAATGCGTCAGGCAGCTGCGGGAGGCCAACCAACCACTGAGATTGTTGCATTCTGACAGCCTTTCATCCTTTCAGCCTCTCATGGCAGGAAAGCGCTGGGGCTAGCAACTATATATAACGGAAAACAAAGACTAGCATATTATAGGCAGTGGCAGTATATATGTATCACATATTTGCTAAAACAGGTTTCCAGGAACAAAGAGTTTCCAAGTTTGCCCCTGGTACCTGAAAGATGCCGTAGGGTAACTCCCCAGACTTGCCCTAGACGGAGATGATCGACATTCGTTTGGCAGCTAGCGATACCCGCTTGCGACTCGACCTACAAGTTATACAGATATAAATTATAGATATAAACAATATCTATTCATCTCGCCCTACTGCGTTTGACTCCGCATCTGACGGAACGAGTTTCATGACATGTTCTCACACCAATGGCCATGTTCTCAACTGCCTGATGCTAAGCAGACAAAGCCCAACACCAAAGCCAATGCCAATGACCAGCTGCGCCGTTAGACAAACCGAGACACGGAAGTCCTAACAAACTCAAATCATCAATATCAGGGCAAGAATAGGGTGTGAGAAGAAGACCCTGCATCAGTACAACCAACCCAGCCACGACAGCATCTTTCGAAACACACCCGGACTTTTCAAGGTCACAAGGTTGATCAATCAGTCATTTCTTCGCAACCTTAAACGCCCAAGACACAAAATTAACTCGCGCCAAGCTTCGCGTGACCTCAATCACAAAAACCGTTTTAACCGCCCGCATCGCACTCACAAACTCCCCCCTCCCTTGTCATTCTCGTGTCATTCTGATTTCTCGGGCTTCACAACAAAACCGTTATGATATGCCCCTCCCGTCACATCCGAAAAAAAAAAAGGGCGCCACAGTAGCACTCGTAACACGTTCTAGACCAACGGAGCAAAGCCAACGAAGCCAAGAACTGTGGCTCAGGGCACGAGGACACGCAACCCATAGATCCAAAAGGTCTAGAACGTCGCTGTGCTGATCTTGGGTATTCCCGAGGAGTTTCCCACGCTCTTGAGAACCAAGTCATCCAATGGGACTGCACGGCTGTGCGAAGGTTTCCCCTGCCACCGCGCTTCGCTATTGGTTAGGGTGTTCTACGGCAAGGCGTAACGGAGAAGGGCGACTGAGAGACCCCGAAGGAGAGAATGGCATAGTACACGCTGGGGTATTGTGTAAAGGACATGTTCTCGAATTAGCCAGGAACGCTCGGAGCCCGGCAGAAGCGGAAAAGCGCCTAGGTAATTCAAGCAAACGTTGTATGAATACCGAGAGTTCGATAACGGTCTTTTCCGGAGGCGTAGTATCGACTGGCCAGAACAACAACACTTTTAGTCAATAGCCAGACAAGAATAGCAGCATGGTTTAAAGACGCTGAGACTACAGTAAAAGCACCGATTCGAATGACTTTGTTGACTTACCCTCTGGGGCTCTGCCCTGAAAATCAATAAAGCCAAGCCCTGCCTGATCCGCGTCGGCATGCCCGAGCTCCATCATGATCTGATAGGAAAGATTCAAATGGAATAACTGATAAAATAACTGACCAAGTACCTGAGGGATTATCACGCGGAAACCCTCGCTTACTCAAACATCGAACTTTTTCCGTGAGTACAGTACCCGGAATGCAATTCTGATCGAAAGCAATCAGCTGCATAGTGCTCAGTTACAATGCATCAAGCACAGGCACCTACTGCCGCATCAAGGAAGCCACGGACGTTTTCTAGAGTCAGGCCGAAACAGATCAGTCATATTGGCCGAGCTTCTGGCATGTAAGACAAAGGCCCAAATCTAGAGCCTCCCTCGTGTGATAAGCAAGACCGGACGGACCCTTCAAAAGGACCCTTAATTTGTAAAAGGGATTCACCGCTCCATAATTCTTCAGCCCTGGGATCACCCGGACCTGTGGCTTAAAGTCCATTTTGAGATCCGAGCTCTGCAAGATGGCGTATTCTGGAATACGTTTCCAACGTCTCACTTGAGTGCCATGCAATTTCCCGCAGAACGCCGCCAAGGCGAGTTCTAGCCCGCATGGTACTGCAGTCTGCGATGCAACACTGTCTTGCTCTTGTAAGCGCTTGCTGGGGTTTGATGGAAAGAGAGCAAGAGCTTCGTAAGAACATCGTGGCTGTGACAAGTTTACTGCTTAGAGTGGTTGGGTTTGTAATTTAATGATATGCAAAACACATGTTGCTCATCATGTCCAAGCGGGTCGATCATTCATCAAACTTCAGGGACCTTTTGGGCCCACCCCCAGTTCAAAACGCCAGTGAGAAAAAAAGTAAAAAATAAGGGGACCCTGCCAAGCCAGAGTTCTAGACTCTGAGTCTAACACTCTGACTCTTAAAATGGTGAGCGGCATTATTTCCTCTATTTTGACGGAAATAGCAATTCGAGCGGAAAACAAAAACATCAGTCAGCAATAACTTCAGACCAGTGCTAGAGACAGTTAGTGAATTTAGACATGACAGGGCTTGCCAAGCAATTTGTGATCGTCTGACAAAGAACACATTGATCCGTCGCATCCGTCGGGGAGCTTAATTACAGCGCCATGCAGTGGCTCCGTAGGAGACAGAATGCCGCGGCATCGCATCGCATGCATCGGATGGTATCGCATCAGATAAAACAGATACGCGTAAGGTTCTGTACTACTGTAGCATAGGCAAAATGAGAAACGGAGCAGAAGGGGAAGGGGTGGGAATTATGAAAAGGGTCATCCATATCCCCGATGCAGAGTATCTCCGTCTCGATCCCCTTGCAGCATTGATGAGGCTACATTACCATTCCTCCATCTTAATCCGCGAGATGAAGAATTGTCTTGAATATGGATATGTCGATGTGGAAAAAGCAAGCATCTCGATATCTGTGGCAAGAGAGGCAATTGGTTCCCAGGAGCACCTCCGAACGGGAGACTCTTCATAACGAAAACGGACGCCCATCGAAGGTTTGGTAGAGCATCTCGGCCGGGTGGTGTCGCCCATCTTGATGTGGCTCCATCACTTGATGAGGGCGGTTTTTTTTTTATAGCGTGTTCCAGATCGATCTACAACAAATGGTCTTGCCTAGCTCCCAGGAACGCTGAGAGAATTTCCATTCGACGAGATTGCGACCAGAGGGGGTGTTATGGGCAATTGATAATCTATGGAATTGTGGGTGGCATGGCCATGGGCATTTTGTCAAAACCACCACTGTATGGTGGCGGTTTTTGTCCGGACGATGTGGATGGCTCTGTCTATCTCAAACTCTAGACTGACCCATCAATCCAGTTTAAAACGGGTTCTTCAAAGGGCTGAACGGAGCGACACCACTCGTATAAGTGATCGATCGCGATGAGACAGTGCAGTGTGTCTTTATCTACGAATCGAACTCAGGCAGTCTACTTAAAACACATCTCGATGATTAATTCCTCCGTAACGAAGATCAAACAGATTCTCATCCCACGCATGAACTGATAATCTTTCGATGAATCAATCAAGATCCCCCCGACGTCAGTCTAAAACCCCACATATCTTCCCTTCTCATCGGGACCATCGAAAGGCAAAAAATTAAAAAATGATAGACGATCGCGGGTTCTGATAAGCGTTCCCGTCCAAGCCCAGTCCCGGTAATCCGACGATCAATCAACTGTTCTCCAGTTTCACTCGCTGATCCGATGAGTAAGTCTGGTTCTGGGCATCGAGAGGATTTCAATCACACGTGGGTGCTGCGTAACTATCGACATCAGTTTTGCGATAAGCGCTCCCTTGTGTCATGTTTCGAGGGTTGAATTACGCGCGTGCTATGGATTACATCATTCAAACGTCTACTGATAGCTCCATCAACCACATGTTGTCGATGTTCTAATTTACTGCGATCGGGAATAACTCAAACCCTGTCATAATTTGCTTTTAAGGACCATGATGAGATGCAGGGTATCACCATCGCCAACGGGGTCATGCAGACAGCCTAGACAAGAACAAGGTGGACGGAGGAGCTCCGGTGCTTGTGAAGGAAGCTCGCGATGTCGATTGCATGCTACAGTACGATGCCGATGGCACTCTCGCGTCATGGATGTTTTGCCTGTCTCGAGTGCCGTGCCGGATGTGACTGGCACGACTCGGCCGGGTGTGATAGCGTGAACGTGAATGGTGCTTGACACTCTGTTTCAAGGTCTTGGCAAAGCACGTTGCAACTTTGGGGACCAATCCAATGAAGCCGTAACGGGCGACATCGAGATGCTCAGGGTCGTTGAAATGTGTCCATGCAATGCCATGTCTTTCTTTTCCATGCTCAACAAAAAGACTTACCAGCAGAGTGACAGCTCCAGACCCAGTCGTCTGCCGTTATTCCCGTCCAGAACATTCATGTATCTCGTTAGAATGCTCTGGACTCAACCTACCGTATAATCACAGAACCGAATCGATGAGATATCTCCATTGAAGCGGAATCATCTCCGACTAGTGGGATCTGGTTCATGGGACAGATACAACAGAACAAGACAGTAAAAAACCGAAGCTTGGTATCCTTCGATCTTGTTCTAATAGCCCGACCAAGGTTCTCGTCTCAGTGCCCTGAAGATCGGAAATTGGCTGTGTCATCAAAGGAGTGCCCGATGGCGCTAGGACTGTTCTGGAGGTTAACTTCAAACGCCGGAACGGAATGCCCTGCCAAGATCTCCGTTGGCTAACTCCGTTTACCGCTTACTGTGATATCTTGTTAACCACTCTCTTCACCTCGTTGAGTTGCATGTTAACAGCACAGCTTCATAAGGACCTTGTGAGTCACGGCAAGGGCCCCTGGAAAGAAGCCAAAGGGCGGGAAGATGAACCCGAAATAGCAATTCATCCCAACATGATCCACAGAGAAAAGACAGCAAAGAAGAAGCGGTCATTATCATCATGAAACTCTACAGCATTGTATTTCTGCAGTGGACTTTTACTGTCGAGCCCAACACGCCAATTTACACATTTCAACATTGCTCTATTTCTGGGTACACTAAACGCTAGCTCAGAGCCCAATCCAACGGTTCAGGCTCATCATGCAAGGACAGGGTTCTCGCTCTCGCTTTCGGTCAGAGTCAGCCCTCAAAAAGAATTAGGGGTCCATCTCTTCTCTACGGAGTATCATTCAACATCACCATCAACATATTGGATCCCGTAAGACCAGCGTTGCAGCCCTGAAAACTGAATGACCCGAATCCCCGGGTACGCGGTGTGCTACGCTGTAGCATTCTGCTCATCTTTCTCCCTGCGGATATTGGATCACCCTGGTGCTTAGATCGTGGTGGTGCCCGTAGTCGCGGGCGGCTCTGTTGTTCTTTCTGCTGGGCTGTCTACGTTGCATCAGGATTGAGGCTTGTAAGTGACAGCCATCCAATAGCGCCTTTCCATACGAGGACAAAGCTTTGCAAATTACAATTCTGTCACAATAGAAGCTTGGCGGGCGCCCAATAGCGACTCTTTCATGCGTTGAGAAACAATACCGATTGTTTATCTCAAGTTATGCGTTGACCACCGATGGAGAAAAGAAACTCTCTCACATCGGATCCCGCGATATGCGTGAAACCCGCCCTAGGATTCAAGACTCCATCCAACGATCCGCCTTTCATATAATGTTGGTCGCACAACAAGGGTTAATCACTGCATCTACTGTACACGCCGCTCGACGCGAACGCCATTGTTAAAATGTGACAGATCCAATGCTTATTGTATCAATTGCGCGGCCTTTCGGCGCGGTTCAAGCGCCGCCCATTATCAATCACCATGCCATGCCATACAAGCCGAAAAGTCCGTCACTTGCACGTTCAGTTGAGACAAAAGGTAGCAGGCATCCGCGGAAGACGGGCGCACGCAGTCAGCTCGATATGTCCTTTTTTACTACCTAATTGATCCCTGTGGCTTCGTGCCCTTGCTGGGCTGAGCTGGCCGATCCGGGGTGATTTTAACGGTGAACTCAATTTCATGAGGCGGACCATGTTGAATTGTCGTACTACCGTACATTTGACTCATCTTGCCAGAGCAACACTGGACAACTCATCTTGGTCCAAGCTGTAGAAGATGAAAAGCTAGAGTGATACAGCACAGGTACAGGGTCTTTTTGCACAGACTTTTGGGCCCTGAAGCTAGAAGCTTCATCAACACGAGACTCTGCAATCTAACTTGCAGGAAGCTCCCATTGTGCAAGGAAGACCCCGTTACGGGAGCCCGGAGCAACGATTGACAACAAAAACATGCAATAAGCTTTATCTGCATTTGTTCTTTTTCGTGCCCAGGTTGAACAAGGCGGTAGATTACTGCCAAAAAGCAAACAATGCATGAATATGTTGCGCTGTACTCTGTACCTTTTGTCTCTGAAGCTGTGCCCCGTTGTCGTCGTAAGCAGTTTTGAGCTGTTTCTTCCCGTGCCGTGAGAATATTACAGTTCTGTAAGAGGTACAGTACATACAGGCATATCCGAGACATCAGCCAGCCCCAAAACAGGACGAATTGGGGGTGGTGATGATCACGGGCGCGACAGGGGAGGATAAGAGAATAATTCTGGACAGTCAGTTAATCAATCAGACACAGCGTGATGCCTCACCAACATGACCCTACAGGTAATCACAAGCCAAAACAAAGTCTCGAGATTGGTGATCCGTAAGCCCCGATAGATCGCATAAGCTCAACACAAAAGAAAACGGAGCATCTCAGATGAATCGACAGGGGTAAAAGTAAACTAAACGGACAAGATGGAGATGGACGGGTTTCGCCTGGTCAGGACCCAAGACCTGACGTTGCATCGGCCAGGCCTGTTCTGGTATTGGGTTCGAGCCAAGCCACGCCCCCCCCCCCCCCCCCCCCCCCCTTCTCCCTCTGCCACTCCGTTTTTGACTCTGGACCTGTCGTACAGTGAGTGAACGCCAAGTTTCAAGCCAAGACTCAACAGTCAGAGAGTTTATGGTTGCTAAGACAATTATCCCTCACCGAGAGCAGTTTAGATAACAGCCCAGGTCTGTCTGATACTGGCATATGCCGCAGTTGTAATATATCTTTTCAGGACTCAAATTGAATTGAAATGAATGCTGGTGCCTTGAAGAGGGGCGTATGCTTGGACTCTCCGTTTTGCTCGTCTTGGGCTTGGCACAATGTCTTGCTGCTGTTTCTCTCGACCCGCTGCCGATCTTTACTCCGCGACACGCCGTCTCGCAAGACACATCCGTGGACGAGCAGTTCAATCGTCGATCCGCAGCAGCACAGCTAAAGGAGAAGTAGAAGAAAAAACTTACGTAGCCCCCAAAACCACACACTGAAACTGACCTGCCTGCCCTGTTTCTCTCTGGGCGCGCGTGTGTTGCATCCAATTGCTGCTAGCAGGATCAAGAAAAAGATTCAGCCATTTTGATAAAAAGGCCTGGTTACCCCCCAAAATAACGCCCTTGAATCCAGAACCTACATCCCTTTTATGAAACGAATTTCACCGATACGACTCGACTCGACTCGATACGATACAATACCCCTAGGACACTCTAGACTCTCAGTAATAGCGATTGATTGTGCACTCAAATAAACACAAGGGCCCCCTTCTGCTCGTCCCAGCTGCAATCTACCGGACTAAGCCTCAGCCACCTTGTGCTACAGTTCCAAACTGTACCGTCCTTCCGTACCGTACCGTATCTGTCTGTCTGTCTACGTATACGACGTAGCGCTACGTAGCGTAGCCCTCCCTGGTCCCAGTCCCCAGTCTCGTTCAGTCAGGCTCAGACAAAACACACACCCCTCCCCCGGACGGGCTTGTTTTCAAGGCTCCAGAGTTCAAAAGGCTAGGCCCCTGGTCGCTATTCAATCCTTCTTAACCAGCACAGTCCCCCTTGAGGGCGAAGCATCAAAGCAAGAGTACAAAGCAGCAAAGCAATTACCAAGGCGCCAGCACATCCCCATCCACTTGAAACAAACAAAAAAGGCTTTAGCTTCCTTTTTTCTTCTTGTTCCTTACCCTGCCCCTTGTGGTACATCACCTCAAAATATCTATATTACCCGCCCTGTCTGCCCTTTCCAACCTCGTCTCCATCATCATGTCTGCCAGACCTTCAAGTCACCACTTTGGATCAACAAGCTCAACATCATCAACACCTTCTTCAGGCTCCGACTCAGACTCTTCCAGCTCAGGACACAGATACAGCATGGACTCAATCGCACTCCCCATCGCCTCTGTCGAGGTTCTTCGCTGCATGCGATGCGCTCGCTCAGTCGAGGCTACTTCTACCGACGACGTCAGTACCATGGGAATGGTTCGCATCGCTCACAACCTCTACTACTGCGAACGCTGCGCAAAGATGGTCGGCTACAAATAAATGAATCAACCAACATACAACACCTAAAGGCCTGAACACGAGTAACACACGAACTACATTCAGCTTTTTTTCTTTCTCGGTGGAGGGAAACAAATCACATGGCGACATGGACGGTTAATCCCCAAAGCAAGCATTCAATGATTCTTCCAACCAGCCAACCCACAACAACCACCTTTTCGGCGCAAAGGAAATATGATATTCGGCTCTTAACCTCCAGCGTGCCGCATGAATACATCCCCCTCCTGCCATTAGGGTCAGCCAGCCATTTATTGCAGTTTGGCAACCCCACCATCACCAAGAGCAAAGCCATATATCGCCACAGAGCAAGTTGACCACCAACATCAACATGCGAGGACGACCTAAGTTGGCACCCTCTTACAACAACCGAAGCAAAACCCAACGATACCGACAACCACCCTTTCAGCACTGCCAACTCAGGAACCCATCCATCTTTTTGAGGTTCAGGGCATTCGAGTGATTGGGTGCGGCATGCCCGGCATCAATGTATGGGTACCCCGTCAGCTTCCGGATCAGCACTTGTCAGGCTCAGCTCAGCCCAGCCTGCGGGTGATCAACCCCTCCAAAAGAGAAAGACTGCATTCACTGCCTCATGTGAGATGGATACCACTGAGGCGCTGTCTTCTCTATTTTCATGACCACCAATTTTTGTGTATTTGACGACGTTCATGTGTGGAGTTTTCTTTGGGATGGGATGTAACCTTGTCATATTATCGGATTTTCTTCTTGTATACCCACGGATACCCTGTTTATTGCCGCCGGGCGCTTCGGATATTTTGGGGTTATTTGAATGTTTTACTTGTTCGCTTCTATTCATCGTGGTAGAATACACGCAAGACCACGGCCTGGTGCCTGGCATGGCTTTAGCCTTCTGGGCAGGCTATTTTATCTATATACTTATTTTGAACAATTCATCAAAAATTCTCATATCACATCATTGTGTCTCGTGCATTGTGTTCTCGCACCAATCTCATCTGTGTCTTGCATGTTGGTCATGTAGTTGGTGGTCATTGACGCCTGACCTTTAACAATACCCATCTACAGCAGCCCTCGGCGCTACGTGCCGTCTCTCGCATTGCTAGCACGTATTACATCCGACCAGGGTCGGGGATACTGTCATTGGCTATTTCTCTCTCAAATGGTGATTGCCATTCCCCCCTCCCCTCTCAGAACCAATTAGAGGCTGTACAAGAGGAATTTCAACTGCAGACTCGATGTTGGCTGCCGAAAGGTCACATACCAGCCGCTGACGTCTTGGCTCCCCAACTTTCTCCGTAATCATTTCTCTTCAAGCGGGGGGTTAATTGTGCATGCAGCAGAGAGTGTTAAGCAAGACTGCGTTATCATGATCTGAGTCTGGCTTCATTGATAGGAATGAGAGCGGAGTTGGGAATGGAGACATGGCGGTCTCGCTTCGACTCATTTCACTTTTGACTTTACTTTAATCTGAGACTCTGAGACCTGTCCTTTTCCTTTTTCGCCTCCCCCTTTCTCTCTTCTCCGCCTGTCACTCCAGGTTTTATCCCGGCTTTGGCAATTCTCCTCGGTTAGGGTTTTTAACAGAGCCCAGAGTAACTCCACTATTTCGGTTTACTTGCTTATTTCTGCAGATTTAGTGGAGTCATTCCATTCAATACATGCACCTGCATCTGCATTTTTTTTTCTTTTTCTTACTTCCCGCCTTGTTCTTTTTGAAGCTATTCCCACAGTCCCACTCGTCGTGGTCTGGAGCCGTCTCTGAATATGCGTCGAGATTACGACGATGTGACATGGATATGAGTGCCCTGAGACCAAGACCAATTGATCCAAGAGTGCAGTGGTGCGGCACTCACATGCAGATTGGCTTGCGATCATTGCATAAACTCTATGTAATATCTGCCTATACCCGTGTGACGATGACACTTGAAACTCAATCAGTCACACTTGCACTTGCACTTGCGCTTGCAATCGTAGCTGGAGATTTCAGCTATCGACTGCACAGCTTAGGTTTTGCCCAGCCAACCATCAAAAGTCAATGTCAGTTCGCGTGCGGCACCTCAGATGCAAACAGTGGAGTCTCGAGTATGAGTGCCGTAGACTAAAAGGTACCAAGATAGCTCCCAGCCTAACTGCAAGTTACCCAGCACCGTTGTCACGCTTCTGCAAGCCTTGCAAGCCATGAGCGTAACTGTTCTAGGCATTTCAAAACATCCCAGCCACACGATGTGGTCTAAAAAAGCACATATGGAGGAGCTAATGTACGACTTGTCCTCCTGCCGCACAACGCGCCTGTAGCAGATAGAGAGGAACAGAGTCAAATTTTGACTTTGGAGCGGCAGTTGAGGGATGCGTGCGTCTACAAAAGTGCTACGGGACTGGACCTGGAATGTAACATTGGGTTGTGTAGCTGCATCTGCCGTTATCCTTCAAATACAGGAGATGCAGGCCCAGACTCCTCAAGACTCTGTTTAAGAACCACCCGACTCCCCGCTCGCTCGCCATCCTCGGCTCCGTGAAAGGCAGCAGCAAAAATAAAGGAAATAAGATGGCGGCGGTGGCTTGACGGGTCCAAATGCCGGAAGGTTAACAGTCCGAGACTACGAATTGCTCAAAATGGCCATTTCTTGATTCCTCTGCCATTCAAGACTTCAGTTGCACTACCAGGCCCGAAATAGTGCAGATTTTCAAAGTCCCCATGCCAAGCTTTACTTCCTGCTCGTGTGCCTTGCGTTTCCTTGCTCAACTTGCAGTCCAGGGTTTCAGTACCGTTCTTAACCAAGCTCGAAATAGCATCTCATCGGCCCGCGGGGGTTGCAGTGAAGCCAGGGTTTTTACGACATACAGAAATGGAAATGGAAATGACAAAAACATGTCCCAGAAGCTGACATGCAGTAATTATGAGGCTGTCATGTCGTTGCCTTCTTTCTTTCTTGGCGTGAGACATGAGACAGAATGAACCCCTTGTCTTGCCTTGCATCTCAAGTGGTGGAGTCGTGGATGAAGTCGGGGAGTAGAATGCATTGAATGTCACTTGTCTTAGAAAATAGGCAATAGGCAGAGACAATTGATCATTCTGACAAGGCTGTAAGACAATTAACGTCGGAGTTCTTGTCATCCGTGATAGATAGTGAGACTGAACTCACCGGTCAAGATCCGACCCCCCGAGCTTCATTCAAGGCATTCGCTCGGCATGTCGTCCATTTAAAGCAAAAGCGGTAGCGACGGATCTGAAGGTTATACCAACAAACATCCCGAGGCCGATCCGTCCGAAGGAAATAACAATTTTCTTGACTCCCTAGACTCTGAGCAGTTCCGTCTTAATGCCGATTAACCGTCTAATTATTGAACCCCATGCACAACGACGACGTGATGTTATCGCCGTCCTCAGTTCTCAGTCTTCTCATGCAGCAAATGAGCCTTTTTTTTTTTTTTTTAACCCATCTTACAACCCACCCCGACATCTCCGTACATATTCATCCGTCTAACCAGAATATGGTTGCGCCCGTGAGCTATGCAGTCAGATGTCATAGGGTCCCCGCGCGCCAACTCCAACGTGAGTTAGCTTCACCTCCGGTGCCGCAAGGGATGACGTTTTTCCCATGCGTCAAGGGTTTTCTTTGCTCCCTTTATTAACAAGGTCGGAGCGGTGACAGGAGCCACACCGAAATGAAAAAGACCACAAGGAAATGTTTTAAGTCATGGCCTAGAATGTTGGAAGGGGAGAACAAAAAAAGAAATGGACCTCATGTAAGTTTTTCTGGTGGAGAACTTGAACGCACGGGAGATCATCACGAAAGACAGATATTCTCCATTTGAGCCTCAAGATCCCCGAGATCCCAAGCTCAAAAATAGTAAAACAAACACGAATTTAGAAACAGAGAAAGGAGAACATGGATTCTTTCTCCCTTCCGTGCAATTCCCTTGCACACACACGTACATTACACATCATCAAACATGCATCTTCCCGCAAAGACCCTGCGAATGCCCTCACTCGAAAAAGACCCACCCCCTTTCGTCATCCCGCCCTCTGACCTCATCGTGCAGGCGACCACGACACGACGTTACGTTATTGAACAGGCCCAAAAACAGGGCGGTCTATAAAAAACCAACACTGACATGGGTGCGTGACGTCGCTTGTGAGGGAAAAACGAGAAACGGTTTGCTTTTGCGGTATTTGACATGGGTTCTTTTGCGAAACGGTTACCAAGCGGGAATGGACTGAGGTGTGCGAGGATGATGTACATGGAGATCAGAAAACCCTTACGATGAGCGAAACGGTGAGGTTGTGGTGTATGTTTAACTCGACTTATTTTGAGCATTATAGGGCTGTCGTGTGCACTTTGGCGGTCAACGTGGGAGCTTCTATGCTGCTTCTAAGAATATTCGATTTCTGATTACTGGGATTGTTTTCTCGATTACATACCCAGGGGCTTTCATGCATGTTCATACCAAGGCTATTCCAACGCCTTACTCCGGTTCCTACAGCCCAGAATTATAAAGTGATTGACATGTAAATGTCTTATATCCGAACATCATGTTCCCATAAACAAACGACCGTAAAGCAATCAACCCTCCATTCTGACATCTGTCTCCCTTCCGAGGTTCTTCAGCAGGAAGCTGCGCTTGAAGTACTCGTTGGGATGGACGATGGTCTCGAGCTGTGCTTGTGTCATGACGCCCTCGTCCTTGGCCTTCTTGATCTCTTGCTTGTGCAAATGCTCAAATACACTACGATCGCAATTAGTATGTAGGTCATTCACGGGGATGCGCATAGACTTACCGATTGCATGCCATGTGGAACTTTTGCTTATCCTTATCCTCCTTGACACCCTGGAGAACAGAGCGATCATTAACTCCCATAGCTTGTACAAGTGCTGAGAGGTTCTCCATATTGAAGTGTCGGTATGGGCATCCGTGGGCCTCACCGGGACCAGGGGGATGTTCGGTAAGGATCTTCTGACAACTGAATGGACTATAACCACCTCCCCTTCGATTGGAATCACCACCGACATCACCATAGACGTGACGAATATTGTATCGGTACTCCTTGTTGAACTTGTCATCTGTGATCTTGTGGAAGCTCTTTCTCCAGAACACAAGACATTCCTCCAGGTTGAGACCAATACCCTTGAGGAAGAGCGAGTACTGTAGTCGACCATAGTGCTTGAGATGGGCGTCTCGACGTAGTGAGCGGTGCAAGTGGGACATGCAGGCTGGGAAGTGTTGGGATAGGTTGTCGATGTTGGCGGCGCTGATCTCTGCACCAGGCACGGCGGCTGTGCTGGATGTGTAGGATGCGTCGGGGGTGATGAAGTTCTTGGAAAGATGGTTGAGGATAGGTGTGAGTCGGTCGTCTTCATCAAGTCGGGGAAGAGCACGGGCAGTTAACTATGCATTGTCAGTTCAGACCTTCACATGGTTCAACTAGTTGCTGTACCTCAAGTTGTCGCTCCAGTCGCGAGCTGAACTCCGAAACGACCATACCGGCCTGTTCTCGGCCTGGTACAAACGCCTTTCCAGCCTTCAAGAACACTCTTCGACTCTCAATTAGTTCAGGGACTCGCTCCCAGTCCACCTTGAACCAAGTATCATCGTCATTCTCGCCCTTTCGATTGCTAGCAAAGGCAGCCAGCTCCGCAGCATACTCCCTCCTATCCTCCTCTGTTACATCTTCACACCAGTCTAGTCCAAGAGTCTTGACAAAGGCAGATCGCTCGGCGAGATCGTCATCATTGAGTCGCAGGCGGAAAAGCATCGTTTCAACACGTGTGAATCGACGGCGCAGATCCTCGGTGGACGAGAAAGCAAGTCGGAGGATGAAATGGCTATAGTGGTCTTTTTGGCGCTGTTCGAAGATCTTCTTGGAGCCTGAGCTGTTGGCCTCGAGGTGAAGGTGCTTCTTGAGGATGGGCTTCATGTGTGTTGCTGTCTCGGCAGGAGTCTTGTTGCGGAACGAGCATGCTTCGAGTTCAGCGAGAACTACCGGGTATTAGATACGCGTTTTATCACAATTTTCTGCGTCCTACCTCGAAGTCGGTCGATGGCCCATTGCTCAAACTGCTCGAGGGTGATATCCGCAGTGGGAGGATCCGTGTAAAAGTTGAGACGATGGGGATAGTCGAGGTCTTTGTATGTAGGTGCAGCGAATTGCTTCTTGCGATGGTCGACGACATTTCGCCTCTTGGGGTCAATTCGGTTAAAGTCTTGCCGCAACATGATATCGTTGTCTGTTGAATATCTGTGTCTATGGAGTGGAAATTGGACAAGGAGTGGAATTGGTTGGCAAAAGGTGTGAAGCGGGAGACGCGACCTTCCGCGTCTGGCGTCGCGGGGTGGAGCGGGCAATTAAGAGCCTGTAACCCAATCAGAAGCGCGTAGGGTGTTCCCCAGGTGATTTTGGCTTGCAGGCCCACAAAATACTTGACTCTCTCTAACAGTGGAGATAATGCAATTCATTAATAAAGAAAGAAAGCTCTATTCTCAAGTCAAAAAGAATATTCAAATATTTAATTGATCTTAAAACAAATAATTCGTTGAAGATCATATTTACGTTGCGACAATGGGCGCGATTTAGTAAGGTACCTAAATGTCCTGTCGCCATGCATTTCGTGAGGTAGTCGATGACCTCAGTTGGAGCTATTTGTTCCAGTTCCCATCATTCGCAAGTGAAGCAAGCACTCAGTCCTGTCAACAATCTTATTACACATGCTGCACCAATAAATCCAGTCCAGTGATTTAGCCATGCCAGTTCAACTCAGAAGTAGGCCCGGAGCACCAGGTCCTAAAGCCTGTTGCTCAACAACTCCATTCAGAGTTCCTTCAACAGTGTGTACAAGCCTCAACCGGCCATTCTGTATTGGCGACTCACTCTCTCAGGTTAATACTGAGAACAGTTCAGACTCAGCTCTGCTATTTAAACTGCCGCCTGAGGTTCTCGCCATGATCTTCGACCAAGCACCACAGGTGGACAAGAACATGTTAGCGATGACTTGCAAAAGTTTACTCGCCACTTCGAGGCTGTGCGGCCTCTCTGTACCTCTTCGCGAATCGCACATGGCCATTTGGAATCGGCCTGACTCTTCACACTCTGTGATTCCCTGCTCATGTTTGAACATGGGCGATTTACTCCGAAGGTTTCGACCAAGAGATGCACGTGGTCGACCAAGTCGGGCGTGGAGTTGGTGCCTGGACTGCTGTAGGTACCTCCCGACAAGACGAGGATGGTGGGAACGTCGAATGAAAAGAGAGTCTATTGGGAGATCACGAGATGAGTTGTCAAATCGTGAACCGAGTATTGATTGGTTCAGTCGCGGACTCAAACAGCAGTGCCCTATTTGTTACCTGAACGACCAATCAACTTACTAAAATTTGACAACTTAAAAGTATGAAGATGATAGATAGTCAAGCATACATTTTGCGGCCATTTCTTATGATCCTTTAACTTTAATTTTTTATGAACAAACGAACTTAAAGACCTCCGAAACAGAAATTACCAGTAACGTTCTCACGCTTGTGCATATCGTACAAACACAAACACTACAACTGAACCAGCCCAATTCTCAACTATGAGATGCAACACTATAAATATCTAGATAAGATGTCTCAAAACACTGTATCGATTAAAGCTGTTACGCACTGGAATGGTGTTGACCGGGCTCATGGGGCTTGAGTAATTAAGGAACATGTATCTCCTGAATGCTAGGAAACTGACGATACCCTCATATTACAGACTTCCTATCGCCTCCGTGAACATCTATTGACTTTCATAAAGTCGTGCGGTCTCCCCAACACGCACATTCACTCTTGTTATAAACTTTTAAAAAATGTTCTTTGAGTTCTTGACCTGATTTCCCTGGACTATATATAAACCATTTCCCGTTCCTCTGGCATACTTCAGCTCTCACTCGACTCTTCCATGTAAAATATTTACCATCACGAAGACCATCCAGCATATCTTCCTTTTCGACGCTTGATACTTTTTCCTTCATCAAGTTCAGCATCGCTTAGTCTTTCCCTTTCCACATAATGAACATGCATGGATATTTCTTTGACGCGCCTCCCCAGGAGGAGTCTCCAGATGGTTCGAACCCGATGGATTTATCTCCACAGCTGCCCCTACGAAACTTGGGTGCCGAAGTAGAAAATATCGAAAAATTCTTCTTACTGGGCCTCATTACTCCAGCACCAGAAAGAAATGTCTTGAAGGAACTGGAAGTCGACTTCAAGGAACGTGCGAAGACGGGCGACCTGCAGGCTCTTCAGAACTTTATCGAGCCTCATTTACAGACCCCAGATATCAGGATTCTCCACAATATCGATTTCATTCAGAAAGAACTTTCTCATGCGCCTAAGGAGATCAATGACTATTACGAGCAACTGATTGAGCGTACCCAACCGGGGCCTCATGACCTCCACTCTCCCCCGGATGCTCAAGTGCCAGCGGACAAGATTGTCGATTACACAGAGAGCTACAGATTTCGACATGACTCAGCCCGGAACTTCATCAAGCGACTGAGGCGGGTATGTCGGAGGCTACAGGACTTCTGTGGAAAGACATTCACAATGACGAGTTGCGAAATGGACCGCCTTGAAGCAATTATGAGAGCATGCCAGCATCCAAACATTGCTTTCGGGAATGGCCTCAATTACTTGAGGTTTATCGGGACGAATGATCAACCAACTGGTCTCATCTCAGCCCTCCCCGCTCTCATAGTGGCGTATAGCTTGATACATCAGGTGCCAGGCCAAGTCAAAGAGCTGGAAGAGAAGTAAGTATTCCTTGATTTTCGTCGTTCTGCATCACTGACCGTATTTAGGTTCACTGAAGATCTTTTTCGATGGAAAACCTTGAGCGCTCTGAACGAACCAGACCCATTTGGCTTGTTCGAAGAGGCTGTTTGTGCCGCATTTGCACTCAAGTCCTTCCCAAAGGCCACTGCCTTTTACGTGCCAGGAAATGAAATGGTTCCTCCTGGAGTTGCAAATAGGTACCCAGGGGACCCCATCGTAGTTGCGCAATTGCAATCCGTGGCTTTCGATTTCTTCCTTCAAGCATCCTGCGGTAAGTCTTCCATGCTATGCCTCTGTTGATACTTGAACTGACAATGACACAGCTATTCAAGAAATGTACGATCAAGGGGCTTTGAATGCACTCCTGAAAGAAATTGATATTCTATTGGGCGAGCAAGGGTCATCAATCTCCTGACCAGAAAGACTCTGGTATCGACACGGCTGAGGTGGGTGTCGGTCCCTGATGAGTGCGAGGGAGCAACGGCTGCTAGAGCGCCTCTCGCTCCCGAGGAAGTGGGGATAGCCGGGCGCTTATGGGGCACTTTTACAAGGGCTGTGGCTTTCATTTCTGTAGGGCTGAAGGAGAGATGAAACCAGCAAATGTGACATAAAAATGCCAGAATAGAGGCATATAACGAATAATGGTGTTAAATAGAGTAAGCATATGACTTATGCGAATGAGGGAGTTAGACAAACCAAAGTGAGCCGATGGATAAGCATAAGACACCGGGGCTAAGATTATCGCAAGGCATACTTGCACTATCCATCCATGACTTGTGACTCTGTATTCCCTACGGCATGGATGACTCGAGAAAATGGCCCCCACCCTAGAAACGCATTTGACATGGATAATACATTAGCACATATGTAAGGTGAGATATCAGTAAGTTGTAGGGAGGGGTAGAGGCCGCGTTGAAACCGTCTTACAGTACGGAGTACCTGGGGGAGGCAATAAAACTTAGGACCTCGATCCTAAATGAAAGAAATACTTAAGTAAGTTACCATAAGTTTAGGGGGCTATTTGATGAGTTTATTTTGGCATCTATTGTCAAGGTTTGAAGTTTTCTTGCTCCCTGAGGAGTACCTACTGTCACACTGGCCCTTCGGGGCTGGGCTGAAGGTAACGGACTGGGGTGATCCCTCAAGGCTGCCTCATCCAATCTGTGCCGTGCCGTGCTGTGCTGATGGGGATTAACAGACAGGGTTTGAGCCTAAAGATGTCGAACCTGGACGTTAATTACCTTGAATCCATTTCTCTACTCTTTTTGCTTTACCTTCATCTTTAATGTGACGTCTTTCCTCATTCTACTCTCCTATAAAACTTCATATGGGACCTCGTTCCGTTAACAATTACTCACTCACAACGCCGCGTCAGCAACACATCCATCAGTCAGCCTTACCACCACAGACCGCAACACACCAGAAATGCTATGATGGCTACCTCGAGCGTCTTCTCCGCTCGATGCCGCACATCACCCGGTGACTCTGACGACACCGACATGAGCTTCCCTCGCTGCGCACCCGGAAGACGCATCCCCAGCTCAGAATGGGAGAAGAAACGTCCGGTAATCACGAGGCTCTACCAGGAAGAGAAGCGACCTCTCAAAGAGGTCATGGAAGTCCTTGAGCGTGAACATGGCTTCACTGCGACGTGTGTTTAAACCTCTTTGCCTCTTTTAAGTCTCGGACGTTGACTCTTCTTGCAGTGTCAAGATGTACAAGTCGAGGATTTGGAAGTGGGGTCTTGATAAGAAGCTCAAGAGTGATGAGGTCCTCGCTATTCTTATCCTGAGGACTGAACGTGAGGCAAAGGGAAAGACATCAGAGTTTACTATTCGTGGTCAACCTGTCGATCTAGATAACATAAACAGATATATTCGACGGAATCCGGGCCTCGTTGCGCGCTTTCGAGCCGGTGTTGTGCCCAGCATCCAGACGACTCTCGAGGTCCAATGTAGAACACCGTCGCCAACGCCAAGTCACTCGTTACCACCGCCGAAGGAGATTTCCAACGTTGAGCAGGTTCTCAATCTCTTTAGGGACTACTTCGATACCTCTTTCACCAATGGAGTATGGAAGCATGAATATAACGGCGACTGTGTCAGCTTAAAGACCGGCGATCGAAGCGTTGAGCTGTTCGAGCGTGTGGTCGCCAGTTTTGGTCTTGTCAACAGGTCAATGATGAGGAAAGACGAGATCTCGATAAGCACTCTCCTCACTCCAGCATTCGAGTCGCTCAAGGAGATAATCGCCTCCGAGAGCCCAGTCTTCGCTGTACGCACAGCTTTCCTCTTGTGGTATCTCCACCGATTTCATAAGGAAGACCTTCTTCACATTGTCATGAACTACCTCGCTGGATTGGTGCCTATCGTATTAGGCCATGATCATCCCATGACGCGAATTTGGCAAGTCATTGGATCTCAGGACTTCTCCGATCATTACGAACTCTCCACACGACTCTACTCCTCTCTCGTACCTCTCTTTGAGGAGCGAATTGGATTCGCCAATTCTTTAACCACAATCTTATACTGCGACCACATTGACTGCCTTGCCCATCATGGTCAAACAGCAGAGTCACTCAGTGTCGCTACACAATACAGAACCCGGGCAGAAGCCACGCAGTTACGGCACCCTTGGCTCCGAGAGCTTGCAATCTTACAAACAGGCATCATGTGCAATGCGAAAACCGCCGAGGGAAAGATCGAAGAGGCAATGCAGTGTCTTCAAACACTGAAAGATTGGGACCTGAACGAAGAACAACAAGCCGGTATGAAAATTCAACTAGGCAACTACAGCTATCAAATGGGCGACTTCTCATTGGCAATTGACTGCTTCCGCGAAGCGTCACGCCTCATAACCACCAGCCAAGGCGACGAGAGAATCCACCTCACATGTCTCGCAAACCTCGAGTCCGCACTGCGCAAAAGCGGAGAGGCTGACGAGGCAGCCCAAGTGCATGAGCTACGACTCACACGGTTATCAGACTTTGCCAGGGAGACGGGCACCTTTGCAAATCTGCCTGAATCCTGCGCTGCGGCCGTGAGTCCCGGCGACAGTTACAGCTGGGACGCTCAGCAGGTGTCTGGTTGGCACTGGAGTGAGGACGGGCACGATAGTGCGATGCCTCCCTTGGGATTGACATGATGCCTGCAGGATGTGCTTACTGCATAGTGTTTCGAGATACAGGGGTTACTGTATGACATGGAATATGGCTTTGTGTGTATATATTGAGCGAGGAATTTTGGGGTTTAACGCTTTTACGACTTTAAATTCTATTATGACAACGATACTATTAAGCATGAATTCAAGAGACACAGATGAAAATCTCTGCCTGTACTGAAACACAGATAATGAAAAGGAGGATCAGTCTAGATAGGCTAGCTGATGGGCATCTTTGACGAAAGCGGTATCATTTTTCGAGGGCACAACTGGCGACCTCCCGGGGCTGTGTACATCGGTCTAATTGAAGCGGGACCTTATCATGGATCTCCAAAGACTTGATCCATCTTATAAAAGCTTATTCTATTGTTTTTGATCCTGTTATTCATGATGTTGACTGGTTAAGTGCAAAGCGGCATCGTGATGTTTTGCATTAGGGATAAAGTCTTGCATTGCGACCAGGTAACAACCTCAACTGTATGATCACTGACACAGGCCAGTCTTGGATAAGAGACCCCTGCATTAGCGGCCGTCTAATATGACTCTTGAGTGTGTTGTCGAGTTCGCTGTAGCATATAATTTTGAGGTTTGGGTTGAATACTTGCAGTCTTCTTGGGAATGCTTGACGAACAATGCAGGCAGCGAACCACGCCATTCAGGGAGCAGTGAAACAAGATGACAATTTCTTGGTGTGCCATACATCCCCAGCTAACAGCGATCATTTTCCAGGCCTTTGAACCTGTTCGCTAGCACCCAGGGCAGTAACGACATGCAGGAGAAGTCTATATGCCAGGAACCATTACCCTCGTTACCCTTGAACTACCTAAGGACACCTATAAGTTGAAGTCCATCTGTTCTGGAGTAGGAACTTTCACCTTGATCCATTGAACAAGAGTGTCCCAAGACACAGGAATAAAGAAAAGGTCACGGTAGAAGCAGCTACTTTCCTATATAGTGTTTCAGTACACTTGCCTTGTCAATAACAGTTCAACCACTATCCGGTATGGTGTAGTGGCTAACATTTCGCGCTCTCATAACCCGAGGGATTAGTACCGCGGAGCCCAGGGTTCGATTCCCTGTACCGGAGATTCTCTTTTGCATTCTTTGTATTCAATAGTAGTAATCTTTTTGCACCCAACGACCAGGTAGGTGTTGTTATCGTTGGCGGGATGTATGTAAATTACAAGCCAGGAGAGAGTTGGTTAGCATTGTCAGTTAATTTAAAGTGGCGTTGGTTAATATTAATCTACTTGCTGACGAATTCGCCTACCCTGCAGCTATTGTGATCATCAGATAGGTCGGACATCTTGAACAGTTAGTGAGTGAAGAAAGTCCGGGTATGACCTCTACAGTGTCAGAAACAATGTAGCATTTTCTTTCTTGTTCAGAGTTGTGATTCTGCTTTCATGCTCTAGACAGAGGCTCCTTATTTAGCTATGCTTGCTTAGGTCTTAGATGCACTGTTTAGCAGGACAATCTTGGCTGCATGCAAAAGTTATACATTTGTAAATGCAGTGCAACAGCGTCCTTAAGAGGGTACGTAATATGTGTTTGGTTTACAAAGGTCGCCTAGCACAAATAATTCCGCAGAAACTGGCTAGCTTCTGTGGGTGACTCCAACTCACGATAGATGCTTACGGACTGCCCCAGGTTCAACAAACAGCCCGGTATGTAAGAGACATCGTCCTCTGACGATTGAACACACAGTGCTTGCAAATTGACCTCAAGCAGTAACAACAAAAGGTCTGTTGAAAGCCATTTCAGAAGGACACCACGCTGTTTCAGCTCCTGGAATAATTTGTCATTACCATCATCCATAGAATTAGAGTGTCGCAGCGAGTAAGCCAATAATGTCAGCGGATAGGCCATGTGGTCGAGGCAGAGGATCAGATCAAAGCCAACGAGTTTCGGAGGCGTGAAAGAAACTCACCAACCGAAAAATGATGGATGTGTGCTCGGTGACGCGACTGGTCCGAAAGGATCTACGGCACGGCGCGGCATTCAAGTATGTTCGTTCATGATGCGATCAAAGGTCTTATTTATTTGAGACGCTTCCGTGGGTGACATCGAAGGCTTTGTTGGCCGTAGTATATTAAGGCTTTGGCAAAGCGAACATTGCGTGGAGCTTAGCCACGGTGAGT